TCTACCATTTTCTTTTTCAGAGGTAACACCGTCCCTACTTCATCTTCCCTCTCCTTTGCCCTCAACTACTTCTTGTTCTTTACCCGCTTGCCATATCTTTTCAATTCCTAACATGGGGTAACCAACCCCCCCTTCTCCCGTACAGAAACTTTTCTGGACCAAATTGGTAATGTTTTGATTTTTTTCTTTACAAGTTCATACCCTTCAAACTAATCAGCATGGCTCAGCAACCAACTCAATGTGACCGACACTTAAAAGGTATCTTTCCAGGCCACGTCCTGGGCTAGAGGCACAGACAACACTGCAGGTTTAAATACACTTGTGGCCTAAGGGAACACCAAGGCCAGGTACTCTTACTCTAGGCTAGAGTTCCTATAGAAAGGCATTAATAAGACTTATACAGAGAAGAAGAAGATGGGCTGAGAAGGGTATTCCAGACACAGAGAATGCCGTTGTTGTGAGTTGCTGCCCAGTCTATTCCAAGTCATGAGAATGGCATGTACAAATCTTTATCTGTCCCTAAAAAATGCTCTACTCCAGAGGGTCTCTGAACTTGTTAGAAATGTAGATTCTCAGATCCTACCCCAGTGCTATAGAATCAGAAACTCTTAAGGTGGGACCTAGCAATAGTGTTTAACAACCCCTCAAAGAGATTCTGAAGCAGGCTCAAGGTTGAAAAGCAGGGCTCCACTCAATTAATTTTAACTGCTGTTCAGTCACCAATGCTTCTCAGTAAAAGAGTATCCTAGAAAAGAAGGCACCAGACATAAACTCCCCTGCAAAATGTCTCCTTATCTTCTTTTTCACAGGTAACACCATCCCTACCCTTTTTCTTCCCTCTCCTTTGCCTTCAACTACTTCTTGCTCTTTGCTGACTTGCCACTATCTTTGGAAGAAGGCATATCATTGTTTCAATGATAGCCAGTGACTTACCTGCCAGCTGTACTGACCTTTTCACAGTTTTTACATAATTCTATTTCATTGGTAATTGTGTTATTCTTGAAGTTCTTTTCTCCCTTTATGCCTGGGTCATATCTCTTGACTTGATTTTCTTTTTTAATTTAAAGGGCATTTATTTAACTTCCTTTTGTGTGTACATGATAAATAGTACAGTGTAGGATAAAAAATTCAACATTCACTCCCTAGAGATACACAGAACCATTTATCTTTTTAACTCCAGAGGTATAAGCTAAGTAATATCCTTATGTGCCTATTCTGAAATTTATCAACATGATAATGTCTACTATCTCCCTACTCCAACAGATGAAAATTGAGCTTGCCAAACTTTGCCACTTAACTTTTACGTTACTTTTAAGTTCAGTTTGTTTCTTATGTTTCTTTAAATACACTTAAACTTCTGTAGTTCTAACAATTTCCAATAATCTCTTAATTTCAACCTTAAAAAAAATCAAATTTATACAAATTTATAAGTTTAAAAGTCCAAATGATCCTGTAAAGATTTAATGAATGAGTCTGCTACAAACCTTCTCGATCACCGATTGTTACTCCTAACAATTCAGTGCTCTTTCAACACTTAGCTGTTTCTCCTACTATCTATTTGCTTTCTTATTTCTAACAAGCTTTTACTTCTATTTCTTAATTCTTCAGCTTTCTGTATTATTAATTAAATCACTTCCTACTATGGAAGATAAAGATATAACACCCCAAGCCTCCATGCTACCAATATATGACACATTATAGTGTTTGGTTATATTTGGTTTACTATTATGATTTATAATATTTATGTAAATATTATTCATATTAAATCAACTACTATACTATGATTACACCTCCTTTTTTTGTACAAGTTTTTATTTTTCCCAAAGTTAATAATGATCTCATATTTTGTTTGTTTAATTTTTATACACTTATTACCAGTTCAGCCCCAAACTTCCCAATTGGTCTCAAATTCCCAATTCAATTGTACATCTCAGATAATCTGTCTTTTTAAAAATACTGCAGAGCTCTCTTTCCTATACCATTTGAGAAAGCTGTTCTTTCTGGCTGCTATATAGCTGACACGCTGAGGTTTTAATGTTCTTCATCCGCTCAACCAGCTTCACTAGCTTCCCTCTTTCTTACTAATTTTGTAAATTAATTAATTATCTCTGAAATATAGTATGCTGCTGATAAAAAGTCAGATGCTATTCAAAACTTATTCTTGTGTAGGTAAGCTTATTCTTTCCTCTTTGCAAGTCTTACAATGTATACATTCTATTTATCCTGTTTGGTGCTTAATGGGCCTTTGAACTCATTTCTTTCATTTCTGTTATTTTCCGGTTTTTCCACATTCTGTTTTTCTTTTTGCAAGCTTTGGTGGCTCAGTGCCTAAAGCGTCTGACTGCTAACCAGAAGGCTGGTGGTTCAAACCCACTAGCTACTCCTCAGAAGAAAGATTGGACAATCTACTTCCATAGTAATACCACTTAGGAAACGCAAGGAGGGGTCACTATGAGTAGGATCCAACTTGAGGGCAGTGAGTTTGGTTTTTTTATTTGCTGGATATGAGATCTACTAGATTAATCCTGTCATATCTTTTCTCTCCCATTTCAGCCTAGGGTGCAAAGGAATATCACTGTTTGCTTTCTCTGTGTTATCTTAAGAGGTATGACGACATGTCTCTCTCTTCTAACCAGCAGCTGGGCCCTCTTAGATGTTTTGTTTGCTCTGGAGGATTGTTTGTAAATGGCCTTGCAAATTATTTTTAGAGAGTTCCTTAATTAATCTCTCTGATTTTGGACTTTCTTCCTCCTGTTTTCCGTACCTGTTGTTTATTCCAAATCTTTGTCTCCTCTTATTTTTGTTCATCTGTTCAGCCAATATCTGTTAAATATAGTGTGCCAGGCAGGGATGACAACACTGAGAAAGCCGTAGATGGCTCCATTTACTTACTCAACTGTTTCCAGCAGTTTATATTTCCTCTTTCTGCTGGACATCTCCACCTGGATGTCTCCAAATACAACCATTATCTTCTCTCTCAAACTCCTCCTACATTATCTTTTGTAATTCATGTGGATACTCTCATTCTCCCAAGCTCTAAAAAATCATTGGAGAATCTCTTAATGAACTCAGTACAACCCCACAAGTTCCTTTTGTGAAAATATCTTTGATATGCTTTTTTATTTTCTATGTCCTGAAAGCTGTAAAGACAAATTTTAAATATAAATATATATAATTTTTTTTTTTTTTCTAATGGAGAGTTTTGGTTACCTACTTCCGTAGTGACACTGCCTTGAAAACGCAAGGAGGGGTCGCTATGAGTCAGGGCTGACTCGACGGCAAATAACAATAACAACAACAAAAGGTTTGCCTAATCGAATTTTTATAGTAATTCAGACCACCGCCACCACCAAAAACCCACCCAAAACAATCAAGCTAAAAAAGCAACTGCAATTGGGAACATGTAAAAATGACCCCTAGCAGCCAAATCAATCTCAATTGACCAATTTATAATTGGCTACATGAAGCCACCAGAGTTAATGACTAGACTTTAAGAGAAATATTTATCTCCTATTACACCTAGAAGTAGCAATTTAAGCTGTGGAGAGAAGCTTGCAGAAGGGCTGGTAGTCTCTTCTCTTCTTTTCCTCTCCTCTCCTGGCAGTCTGCTCATTCAGATCATAATCTTCCCTGTGCAATCAGCATAGGCTGACTGCTTTGCATGATACCCTGACAAGCCTTTTCCACATCATCAGATAATTATCTGACCTTTCCTACTACTTTGCCGATAGGCTGGCTATCCCGGTAATAAAAACAATTACCTAATGACAAGTCAGCTGTGATAATTATATTGATGGTACTACTCAATGCACATCATTTTAATTAAAACAAACGATATGACTACAAGTCATTTGATGCAGGACTTAAGAGTTTCTTGGATTTTGTGTGTAAAGTCTTTCTTTGCACATCTGTTCCGTATCCAAAATTATGTAGAGTACAATTGTCAAAATCCCAAAAGATTCTATTAATCTTCAATAGCACACATTAGAAAATAACAACATCAACTGCTATGATTAATGCTGGAGAATCTTTTGAAACCAAGTGTCATTTTCTTAAAACACAAAAAGAGGATAAATAAGGGACTCCTTCAAGAGTATGTTAACAGTGACAGCTTGGCTGAAATGAGGGAAAACCTAAGCTCATTTTCATTTAAGGTACTTTTTATATTTAGTTCTTGGTACACTTGAAATTGTCTTTTTTTCTTCAGTGAGGAATATGGGGCTGAACGAATTACATCAGTGCATGAAAATATCAGTAATATAGGATTTTGCTAATGGAAACAATATATTTTTTTTCTTGCTATAGTCACCATTTGGAAAAACTTTCATTTAAAATCCTGCATAACTAATAGTCCATAGCTCTGAAATCAGAGTTACATTTATAGTGCCTCTAGGGGTCAGCATAAGTTGAAGGAAGAGCCTGTATAGCAACTACTAGCAAGTGAAGGATCTGTAGGCTCCAACAGTGGTAAACGTGGAGGCGGAGAGAGGAGTAGGAGGTGGCTATGCAAGTTTCCACTGAAGTATGGACAAGAGGAAGAGCTGGGGAGAAGCAGAATCTGTGGCCAATCCACCTAGTATTTAGGTTCATGTTTAACATAAACTTCGGGACCCAAATCGTGTAATACATGGCTTATCACATAAACTTCATTGAGACTACTGGCAGTATTTTCACAGTTGCCTTCATAAACACTGAAAACCATTCACTTTTTAAATAACTGTGTTGGCACTTTGGGCTTAAGCCCATTGAGATGCTAAAAGTAAAAGCACCACAAATTGGTTCTCCCAAATGTAACGGCTTTTCAATTCAAACTTCTTATTTTATGACTTGAATTATCTGAATGGCTGGCCAGTCTATTCTCTAAGCTACAAAATGGTGGGTTTTTGGTCTTTTAACCTATAAACCATTTTATCCCACCTCTGCAGAAGTATGGTGATTATAATTACACATTTTTGGGGAAACTCATTAATGACATTCACTGCCTGTATGCTGCCTCTCAATCACAGCATGGTATCAATCTCAAAGACACTTGAAGGCTGAAATATAAGGAGAGATAATTAACAGCACAGGTTGCTTTTACTTCCTAGTCGATTTCCCTGTGCCTCCAGATAATACTCTCGGGGACCACAGCTGATAAATAATTGTCTGTCTCAGTTGATGACTACTATGAAGTGAGAATTTAACAGCGCTGGGAATCACCTATGCTACAGAAAAAAGAGCATTGTGTTTTTCCTTTACTTTAAAGGGAGAGGAAAAAAACAGCACATGGGCAGTTCAGTAACAATCTTTGGGCACAAAAATAAAAGAAATCATTTCCTATTCCTCACAAACTTTGATTTACAAAAGAATGCTGGAAGCTAAAAGCCTTGTTGATTGATCATGTGAAGCAAAGAGTAATTTTTCTCCCCTTGTTATGCTTTCATATAATCATGCTCACTGCCTGTATGGGTGGCATTAAAGAATTTCTGAACAAAAATAATAATTTCTTGCTTTCAACCTTCATAATTCACATCAGCAAGCACCCTGCTGGCTGGTGATGCCTACTGCCAGTGACGCGCAATCTCTTTTACATGGCACTTATCTGCCTTGTGCAGCTGCGTGTTCCATTGACCGAAATACCTGCAGGATAATGCGGCCATAGGCGTTCTTGAGCAGATTAACCACATCAGCATGAGACAGCCCATCCAAAGGTTGGCCATTAATGCTGACAATCCGATCTCCAACCTGGAAGTACAAAAGTGGTAGGAAATCACTATCATTAGGAAAAATTAAATTTGAGAAGAATGCTTCAAATTTTTTGTAAGTCATATTCCCATTTGTGGCATTGTAAAGATTCTGTGTTTCTACTGGGTGTGCATGTTTGAGAAGCATGAGGAATTTTTATCTTTCCCCACATACAGATCAATCAAAGAAACAAGAAGGGGGTCAGATTTGATTACTAAAAGGCACGGTAGGCCACTTTTATATTTTGGTAATGGTGTTTCAGAAATCCATTTGCCAGTAATAGTAGGGTATACAAACTAATTGTTCAATAAAGCTCTAATGAGGAAGCCAAATATTTTCAGCTTTAATTTTCTACCTAAGTTAAGATTAAGGGTGAGAGAGAGAGGAAAAAAATAATAAAAATGCTGATTATTTTGTGGGAGGCACGGTTATAGGTCAAATCTCTGGGTTGAAAATCCATTTGGGGTGGAATGAGGTGCTAAAAAGGGCATGGGAGGCTTTGCAAATGAGCTGCAATTTCTTCTTTCATTGAGAAGCTTGATATAAACAATACTATTTTTTATATGCCCAGAGACCTAATGAATTTCAAGTATAAACTTTCTGCAATGCATTTGGCCCTCAGTGTGGGTCTCTGATGGCTATAGGAATTCAGACTTTCAACAAATTTTCCACGGCTGCAACTTCCCCTCCCACCCTACCCCATGCTGTTAGCACTTCAACCATTCCCCTCTTGTTTACTTTAAGCTTCTGTGTACGTGCCGCCACTCCACTGGCCTGAATCATGGCAATAAATATAGGGATATCTCCTAAGGGACTTCCTTTCCCTCCAGCAATACTGATTCCAAGGGCATCACTGAGATCCTAAAAGAGAAAGAAAACATGATGCTTATATATTTAATTTTGATTTATTTAAAGACCAACAGACTGATTGTTCCCAGATGGCTGTCAAACAAAATCCCTCCTGTGACACTGGAGGCCAGGATAACATAGGAGTTAAGTGTACGGCTATGGAGTCAGAAAGACCTGTGTTTCAGCTCTAACACTTAATTAGCAGTGGGATCTTGGGGAAGTTACTTAACTTCTCAGAATCTCAATCTCTATGCATTAAATGAGAAGGATATCACCTACCTCACAGTATTGGTTTGAGGATTAGATGAGATGACACACAGGGCTGACATACAGAAAATGCTCAATAAATGGCAACAGTACAAGTAAAAATCCCTAGGCCACTGCTCAGTTTAGTGGCCAATTTTGACACAGACTTGGCAAGTATCTATTCATATGGTGTTTATGATTAAACTGCCACGCATATCTTGCTCCTCTGGATGTGAACAAACACAACTGGCTCTGAAAGAGCTGGATGCCATATTTACAACAAAGGATCTTAGAGGACACCCACTGCAGTGAAAGTGGAGTATGGAGAGAGAAGTAAACTATGACTGAAGATATTCCTTAAGATTCTTTTGTGAGGCAAATCAGTTCACTTGGACCTTGGTGTAGAGACTCAGGCTCTAGTCTAGTTTTCCACATAGAGTCAGTGCAGTAAAACCTGGGAAAGTCAGAACGTGTGTAAAGGGAAACCTGTCAGAGAAGGAAGATAGCAAATATTTTCCACTAAAATTAGTGACAGAAAAGTGGTAAATGCACCCTGTCAAAGGTGGGAAACTTGTGAGGTCTGGATAAACAACACTGTCCCTTCAAGTTCACTATATATAAAAAAAAAAAATCATTAAAATCACAAATGGCAAGGTCCAGGTCCATCATGGTGGCATAAGCATACCATGGCAAAGAATTCTTGTTAAAATACAGAAAGCACAACTACCTGAGGCCTCTGAAAAGCCAAGAAATATAAACGGTGGTTGTTGTTGTTGTTCTGTGCTGTCGAGTCAGCCCTGACTCATAGTGACCCCTCCTTGCGTTTCCGAGGCAGTATCACTACGGAAGTAGGATTGCCCAACCTTCCTTCTGAGAAGTAGCTGGTGGGTTTGAACCGCCAGCCTTCTGGTTAGCAGTCAAGTGCTTTAGCCACTATGCTACCAGAGCTCCTATAAACTGTGGTAAGAGAGTCAAAACTTGGAGAAACAACTCAGGAGGTGAATTTCCCAGTTTTGTTTTATTCCTGATAGCTTTGCCATGAGAGTCAAGGAGTCAAAGATGGAATGAATGGCTAAACCTCTGATAGAAGCCTCACGTTTCTCATCAGATGACCAAGAAAAAGAGGTACTGGTGGCTGGAGAGGGGAGAAAACTAGAGTGGAGAGAGTGGCAGGAGGGGATCCTCTACTTCTGTGCATGAGCCTACAGAATTTTCAGGCTCAGTCCTCAGCTATGCATGTGTGGGACACACCCAAACCAACAATGCAGAGGCTTAGATAACTGAACTGAGATTTGAACCACGGGCCATGAAAGATGAGACAGAACTTGTAGTCTGAACCTAGGTGGGTTGGCTACTAAAACAAAAACAACATTCTTCAGAGTCTATACATTATAACATTCACGTGGTCCAGGATAAAGCCCTACATTATAATATACAAATAACCAGGAAAATATGATCAATTTTACTTTTAAGTTTATTTAAAAATACGTAGGACTGTTGAAAGCAAAATTTGAATATTGTTTAGTTGTTGTTATGTGCCGTTGAATCGTCTCTGACTCGTAGCGACCCCTCCTTGGGTTTCTGAGGCGGTATCACTGTAAAAGTAGATTGTCCCATTCTGAGGAGTGGCTGGTGGGTTTGAACTGCCAATCTTTTGGTTAGCAGTCAAGTGCCTTAGGCAGTACGCCATGAGAGCTCCCATTATTTAGTAGAGTTCTCAATTTATATGGACGTAAACATATGACAACTATGACTTAAATGTCAGGGAAGTTGTTGTTGTAAAGGGACCCATGTGACTGCAAGGCTTCTACAGTTTAAATTGATCAAACTCTGCATTTTAAATATGTATCTACAACTTAGCATGTTTCAATTACACCTTGATAAAGTTGGGGAAAAATTTTTAAAAAATCACAAAAACCCTATGTGAAAGAACTTAAAAAACTTATGGTACATAAACCAAACCAAGTCCATTGCCATGAAGTCAATTCCAACTCCCAGTGACCCTGCAGGACACAGAACTGCCCTGTTGGATTTCCAAAACTGTAAATCTTTATGGAAGCAGACTGCTTCATCTTTCTTCCACAGAGCAGTTGGTGGGTTCAAACCAATGAATTTTTGATTAGCAGCTGAATGCTTTAAACATTACGCCATCAGACCTCCTTTGTGGCACATAAGTATAAGGAATTATTCTTTATTAATAAGATCATTATCAGTTGCCATATCATACTTATAAGACAGAATAATGGCAATGCTGATCTCTCCAATCACAAGTAGCTTATACTGATTTTCCTAAGTATTTGGGTCTAACTTATAGTTTCTAAATGCATCAACAGTTAAGCCCTGCCTCCAAAATGGCACGATGAGCTCTGGTGGCATGTGCCTAAGGCATTTGACTGCTAACCAGAGGGCTGGAGGTTCAAACCTACCAGCCACTCCTTGGAAGGAAGGTTGGGCAATCTACTTCCATAGTGATACCGCCTCAGAAACCCAAGGAGGGGTTGCTATGAGTTGGGATCTGATTCGACGGCAGTGCATTTGTGTGCGTTCATTATGCATTTAATGCTTGGATCATGTTGAGAGAACAGGGTTGGAAATAGCAGGGCTTATTATAACACCTCCCTCACCCCTTTTTTTCTAAGAGTGACTAAAAATGACCAGTGAAACATAAAATATTATATTCTAAATCTTGGAATGCAGAAAAATGTGGAGGAATGTGGCTCTGCAGTATTATTATCCCCACTCTACAGATGAGAAAATTGAAGCTAAGTGACTTGCCAAAAGTCACAGAGCTAATAAATGGTGAAGGCACCTTCAAACACAGCTATGATTGACTCCACAGAAGAAAGCTATGCTGGATAGCCCTTTCCTGTAGTTAAGCTATGATTAAAACAAGGTCATAATTTTTTACTACTTCTTCTTTTTTTTTTTTTTTTATTAGGATTTGGGTGAAGATTTACAGAGTAAATTCACTTTTCATACAGCAGTTCACATATACTTTGTCTCATGTCATTGAAAAAATCTACAATGCAGCAGCTCCCCTCCCACTTCCTCCCCATAGTTACCTCCTCCCAGTGTCCATCCCTTCATACTCTTCTGCACCCTGAGCTAGCTCCCTGTGCATAAGCAGCCCTTCCTTCTCCCATGATTGTTCTCTCCAGGGCGTGTGTCTACTTGAGGTAAATGTTTAACTCACATGCCTGTACTTTGTTTGGCTGGAAACCACAGTTGTGGGTTCAATTCCAGACCTGAAGGGCAGCTAGGGGCCATAGTCTCAGTGGTTACACCAGGCTCTATTGGACCAGCAAACCTGGTCCCCACCTTCTTTTTTTTTTGCCTCCAAATGATTGTGAGTTTTGTACCACATTGTTCTCCCTCTTTATGCAGGATATCCTACATCCCTTCCAAGTGGATGGCAGTGGTAGCTGGGCACCATCTAGTTCTTCTGGTCTCATAGTTGTATAGGTTGCAGATCTGATGGTGTACCAGTCGCTAGGACCGATTGTTTCCATTAATTTTGGTTTTCTTCTTTCTTCTTGACGAGAAGAGACCCATTGTTGCATCTAGATGGCAGCTTCCTAGCTTTTAAGGTCCCAGTCGCTACTCGCCAAAGTAGTAGGTGGAACAATGTTTTGTATAGTATGTTATGCCAATTGAGCTTGATGTCCCCTGCGACTATGGTCCCAAGCCCGCAGGATCAACTACTCGGTCCCTCTGGGTAGCTGGCTGTGACCAAATAATGACCATAACCTTGCCCCTTGTCAGCTCTACTATACACCTGGGAATTCTGATCATTCACATGAACTTATAGGCCCATTGTCTGCCAACCCTATATATGATCTTGGATACACTCTCCATTTAGACATACCTAATTGTTTAGCTTGTTCACCCATCTATCCGTCCCTATACCCATGTTTGCTTTCACTGACAACTCAGTACTGTATATGCAAAGGGGTTCATATTTGTTGTCTGTACTGCCCATGTAACTCTCTATGTCTTTCTCATTCTCAATGCTGCCATATTGGTCACTCACATTTGGTACATTGCCCTTCTCTTCACCCAAATCAATATTTATCTCTATCTATCTAACAGCATTCCCTCCCCTCCACTCCCCTCTCACCCCTGGTAACCAACAAAGAAAATGTCCTCCAATATATAAACCTTTCCTTAACTTTTACAATAACGGACTAATACAATATTTGTCCTTTTGTGACTGACTTATTTTGCTCAGCATAATGTCCTCCAAGTTCATCCACATTATGCGGTGTTTTGCAGATTCTACATTATTCTTTAGTGTTGCATAGTATTCCATTGTGTGAATGTACCAAAGTTTGGTTATCCATTCCTCAGTTGTTGGACATCTAGGTTGTTTCCAAGTTTTGGCTATTGTAAATATTTTACTACTTCTTGAGTCCCCAGTTTATGGCTAAACTGATCAAAACAGAAATTGCCTGTTTTGTGAAAATCAGGTTTTGAGAAATTTATGAATTGAAATGGATCTTACACAGTCTTCTCACCAGAGCCATTTAGCTGTATGTATCAAAGACTTTAGCAACAAGCATGGTTTTTGACCCAATAATTTCATTTCTAAGCATTAATCCTGAGGAAATCATCCGTTGTGTGTGCAAAAATTAAAATACAAAAATGTTTTGTTATTAAAGATGTCAAGAACTGAAAAATATGCAAACTGTTCAGTAAGAAGTTGATTAAGAAAATTACAGCATGTTTATATAATGGAATACTGTACAATGAATAAAAGTCAAAAAAGTATATACTGTCAAAAAAGTACTTATTGGCTTGCATAAGATTTCATGCTGCAAAGTGAAAAAGACATACAAGAGTATGTCCAATATGATACTACACTTCATTTCATAAAACATATACACACATGCACAAAATGTGGTGGATAGGCATATGTGGAAAAAAAAGAAGTGGCTATCTTTGTGCTTAAACATAATTTTCTAAATCTTTTTGTTTATGTTATATAGTAATTACTTACTACTTCAGTAATTTGAAAGCACACATAAACAATTCAATAAATTTTACTAAGGAGAAAATACATATTTTAAGCAAAGCCAACACAAACCAGCAAAGAAACACAGCAAAATTAATGACTCACTCTGATTATCTCAACAGTCCTTGGTCCCGTATCTGTGCCTATAAATAAACAAAGAAGTGACACAATTAACTTTTTGAAAATTCAGAAATAATATATTTAGGATACAATATTATCTCATGAGAATGGTATCATTTTCTAGACCTTTCATGAAAGAATACTAAAGCAAGAAGGCATTATACATTCTCTCAATGTCTAACCCGGCAGTCATTGATCAGGAGCTGTGTCCTCTATTACAAAGAGGTTTTCTCTCTGTTTGACATCGATGCGGCCATAATCATTTGGTCTGACAAAAGCTGATGGACTGCCTGGAACAAGGTGATTAAATGGCTTGGAGGGTGATCCATTTGTGTTTCATTGTCTATTTTTCTGCCTTAATCAAACATACTTCTCTACCCAATGAAAGAATTAAGAAGATTCTCTCTCCCTACCCATCCCCAACCTGTCTCCAATGGTCTATAATTTGTTATTTTTTTCTTTGTAAATAGTTTTACTTTGGATTTTTGTTTTTTGTTTTTCATGTGCATGTATACAAAGTTAAAGGCACATTCAAAAAATGATTCTCTGTGGCTTGACTTCCTTTAGAACAGGACTTGCAGACAGCTTGGGACTACGTGGTTAAATCCAAAGGTTTAAAAACATTCTACTGAAAGTGAAAATTGCTTTTTAAAACACTAATAAATTAGGCCAAAGGACTAATGTACCACGTGAATCCCAGCTTCCAAGAACCTGAGACCAGAAGAACTAGATGATGCCTGGCTACCACTGGTGCTGACCGCTCTAATGGGGATCACAATAGGAGGTCCTGGATAGAGTGGGGAAAAATGTGAAGCAAAACTCAAAATCATAAAAAAGGCAAGGCTTAGTGGTCTGACAGAGACTCCTGGACTGAGGCTATGCCCTTAGACTTCCTTCAAGTTTAGAACTGACTCACCCTTGTGGCTCAACTTTCAGGCAAATGATAGGCCTATAAGGTGAACAATAATACCAGGGAGATACAAAGTCATTAGAACAATCAACCATGTGAAAACAAAAGGGCACCACTTGCCCAGTGCCAGTGATAAAGTTCAGAAGGCAGGAAGGGATAGGTAAGGGTAAAGAGAAATGGTAAACACAAGGAGGAAGTGGGAAGAGTGCGTTATGTGCAATCAACATCACAACACAATATGTATGAATCGTTGAGTGGAAAACCAAATTGTGCTGTAAACTTTCACAATAAAAACAAAGAAACAAACACTAACATTTTATAATTAGTTAACAGAATGATTTGTATATAAATACCTGGATTTTTTGGGGAAGGATGGGAAGCTCTTTTTGGGCCGCCCAGGTTCTGCAGGCTGGGGATGCAAGGCGTGATGGAAGGAAGAAAGAAGCTGTGTGTGCTGTGCTGACTCTCCTGAAAAGGAAACCCATGGCTAGCTGTGCTGAAACAGATTCCGTCCTAACAAACTCATACTATCTCTCTTAATTACTGAATCATGTTAATTATTATTGTAATAGAGAATTTTGAAGAGGCCAAAAAAAAAAGGGGGGGGGAAATCACCCAAAGTCTCCCATTTAATTCCATTTATGGGTAATCCCATTTATCCTTTTCTTCAATGTATATATGGTTTCAATCATCAAGGCAGAAAACAATCTCCCATCTTCCTGATTCTTTTGCTCCTCATGAATGAAAAAACCCACACATTTCCCTAGGTTGCTACATAGCTATATATGATCTCTTAATGGGCAGAAAGTGTCATTTGGAGCTCTTGGGTGGTGTAAATGGTTAACACACTTGGTTGCTAACAGAACGGTTGGAAGTTTGACTCCACCTACAGGCACCTCAGAAGAAACACCCGGTGATGCACTTTGGGAAAACTGGCCATTGAAAACCCTGTGGAGCAGAGTTCTATGCTGACACACATGGGGTGGTCATGACTCAGAACTCAAGGGTAACTGATAAATGTGTCTTATGGGGCTACAGTCAACATTTATTTCTCTCCTACCTAAATTACATGATATATTTTGCTAACACAAGTCTAATAAAACCTTGATTAATGGTAACTCAACCAACTGAAAACCTCAATTGTAGGAGAAAATAGCAATTATCAAGGGGAAAAGGCTTGTTTTAGGGTATGTGTTTTTTTTCTTAGCAGATTTTCCTGGGATCAGTAATACTTCATTCCAATCAGCTATACTTCCCTTATTTGTCCTTTTATTTACTTAAATAAATACTTGAGGTCTAAAATGTACAGTCATTTTATGGCTAGTGGCTATTGAATGAAAACTGTACACATAGCAAAGGCCCTTTTTAACGTAGAAAGTACTGCCAAAAATGAATGTTCCTTCCAAATTAAAACTGTGCCTAATAGTATCATAAAATTTTAGGCTAAACCTAAGATCACAATTATCAGTTGACATAGTATAATTTGATTCATTTCCTTAATCCTGATGCAAGTTGTTTAACATTGCTTTAAATATGAAAGATTTCAAACTTATAGAAAAGATGAAAGAACTGTATAATAGACATTCATGTACATAACATATAGATTCTAAAATTAATAGTTTGCCATATTTTGTTATTGTAAATATATTTTCTTTATCACATATCCAAGCATCTATCTGCCATTCATCTTTCCACCACTCAATTCATGCTTTTTTTTTTTTTCAATTCATTTCTAAGTAAGTTGCAGACATTGATACACTTCACAGTGGACATACACATTTAGAGGAGTGTTTTCTTACTATGATTAAATCAACGGTGGGACCATGGATAACTAATCAGAATTGAGGAAGTACAGCATACTGTAACTTTCCTGTAAAACTCTCAGAAAAATGTATTTGTCATGGTTTTTATAAATATGTACTTTGCTTGGATGTATTCCCACCGAAGAAAAGATTTCTCAAGTGCTTTTTTTTCACCCAATACACACTTTTATTTACAAAGTAGAGACACTCTTTCCTGATTATTGGGAAAAGCTATTTTAAAGAAGAGTTTTGGTGGCCCCAAAGCTAGAAGTTCTCTACTAATCAATCTACTTTCTATAGGCAAGCCAAGTGGTTATGAAATTCCAGCTAGCCCTCAAAAGGCAGCAGCTATCTCCTTGTCTTGTAATTGCCCAGAAGAAAATCTGTGCCCTTAGAGAGCCCAAACTGCTTTCAATAGGTCTGGATTTGAATGTTTGGGAATGGGATCCTCTTTTTGTCCATCTGGATCAGGGGCTGGTTTTCAGCTCATAGGGATGGAAGATGCTTCCTTTTTACAGCTGGCTATAGGCTTTCTTCAAACTGGCCCACTATCCATGCAAACAGTCATATCTCGGCCATAAATTTTAAGGACAAGGATAGAAAACCATTTTTGATTTTTAAACTGAGATCAATTTCCATCCTGTGAAATAGAAAATTCTGTGCAACATTAGAGATTAGTACTGAACAAAATATGACAGCTCACATTCACATACAGAAAAATGATAATGGTAGTTTATTTGACATTTAATTACACAGTTTTTGAATTTGTTAGCTTTGTATTTAACCTAGTCTGAAGCTTTATTAATTACTAAGATGCTCATATATACTCCTCAAGAAGAACAGAAACCAAGCTCTACTCACCCACTCACCTGTCAATCCAAGCTTAAAACACAAGAATTTCTTTGATCTCTTCATACTTTGGTATGTACTATTCCCTCTATCTGAGGTCCCTTCTCCCTTTTCTACCTGTCAAAATCTTTTGGAGTGAACCCCAATGGAATGTTCTCTGTGTAACCTTCTCATACTCTGCCAGGAAGAATAACTCCATCTTCAGTATTGTTCAATCTATACTCTAATCTCCTGTGTGCATCAATGATTTAATGAAACCATTCAACTAATATGAGTCTTCCATTAAGGAAGCAGCCTGGCTGAAGCAACTGCTTTGTATCTCAAGTTCCCACTGTTGATAATCTAGTCAGAATCATCAACCGTCATCTCTTGAAACCCCACTGCAGCACAATGTCTAAGTATGTATGCTATTTGATGTCCATTATGGAAGCCAGAAATGCAAAAAAAGAAAACTTCCAAAACTTAACATGGTGTTTTTATCAGGTATCAGAATTCTTTGAGACAAGCTAGCTAGTCTGAGCTAGTATGGTGATTCTATCTGAACAGTTATTTTTTCTCACCCATTTTCTAAGACCAAGGAGGCAAAGGAGGCAGCCAATAGCATTGCAGAAGCATCTCCTTCTGAGCAAAGGTCTTGAAGAAGCTTTAAGTCTAAGGCAGCCAGGGAGAGGACCAAAAGTTGTTTTTAACCTGAAAATAAAGTCCCATCCATAACCCACAGAAGAGATTAGGAGGAGACATGCATGTTTCTATAGTTTCATTATGTACCAAATGGAACTAAACAAATAGTCTACCATCTTCATTTTTGTCAGCTGTTATAATGAAAAAAGTGCAGTGAAATGACTTTGTTTTTTAAAAAAGTGGCACTTATGTCTGCCTTGCAAATAAACATAAGATGTTTGCTAACCCACAAAATATCACCCACCAAGAGAGAAACCCACAGGAGAAACCTCCACATTCTTTGCTCTCCCAGGAATATGCCATTAATTGCTCTCAGCATGTGTGAGTGGCTATTCACAAGTTAACTTTATAGCAATATTTAATTGAATGAATAGAACAATGTTGTGCTAATGAGGGTCAAATTGCCACCAGATGTTGCTTCTTTCTTTCCTTTTTTTTTTTTTTTTAAATAAACACAGCTGTGTACATGTGTACATAGGCAATATAGAACTAATAGTGGGAGAGAAAAGTGGTTCTGAGAAAACATTTGCAGGCCATAAAGGGGAGAAAAATCTGGGGATTAATGAATTTCCATGCCACCTTTCAAATTCATTTCAAACCAGGACTTGGAACTGGTTCATTCTGGTTCAACTTCCTGCCGAGAATGTGCCTTTCCATCCAAGTATACTGAATCACAACCTACATTTTAACAAATCCTCAGGAGATTCTTATATATCCCCAGGTGACCCTCACCTGAAGATCTTGTTTAAATGTGATTCTTAATGTGTACATACAAATCTTATTAAAATGTAGATACTGATTCAGTATATCTGAGGTGGAAATGCAAATTCTCAGCAGGGTCAAGCCAGAATAAACTGGTTCAAAGCTATGTTTCAAATATACTCAAATACACTGAATTTTGTGTTGTGAATATGCTACATATTGGTAATTATCTCCAAACAATCATTTATGAAATGGGGGACTTTCTCCCAAGTAAGGGCAAGAGAGTCAGTGAGTCATCACCAACCTGACTATTCTGTGATGTCTTCCTGGAAGAGGGCCAAGAACCAGCTTGAAGTCTCCCAATCTCCAGCTGTACAAGCCCCTGAGCACACTTGGGAAATAAGAACAGAACAGAAATGAGAAACAGCAGCTTTTATGTTCAAAACATCCTAGCACAGCCTCCACTCATCTCTGTAGCCAAGAACTGTAAAAGGGTGGTGAAAACAATGGGGAAAGGGAAATTCAATAATCGAATCAAAGTAACATAAATTTAAAATCATGTCAATATTCATCTCATGACTTTTTGCTGATAGCATGGACCTAAAAGGATGGAATTTCAATTCATCTCTTTTCTCTTTTTCTTCTTTCCTTTTGGTGAAAGTATAAATGAGCAGTGAAATAATTAAGAAAAAGTAGTGAAAGGAAGAAGGACAGAAAAATCAAACACAGATAATTTCCAAACACAAATCTTCTCTTGAGTAACAGCTGAAAAGTTGACTCTCAGGATTTTGAAGTGAACAAAATTCACTTGTCTTTGCAAAGGCGTCCACTGCTGTTTGTGAAACACATAACAGACTGCAAAAGGTTAATGCTCCCAGCTGCCAACCAAAAGGGTGGAGGTTTGAATCCACCCAAAGGTGCCTTGGAGGAAGGCCCTGGTGATCTACTCAGATAATCAGCCATTGACAACCCTATGGAGCCACTCTACCTGACATACATCGGGTTGCCATGACAACTGGCTTTATAGTTGAATGGAAATTTATAAGAATATTTATTAACCGGTTTCATCCATGGGAAGTAGGATCCATGTAGTAGAGATACTTTGAAGTGAATTTTGAACTCCAGGGACAGGAAGCTTGGGTGGTAGGAAAACTACTCCAGCAGAGAGCTGTATGTTGTTGGGCATGTCATTTTACTTCTCAAATTCATCTGTACAATAAGATATTGTTCAAGAAAATCTTTAACATTCCTTCAGACAGTAAAAGCTCAGTTGGATGTATTCAAAATAAAATGCTCCCTGACACAGCACTAAAAGTGGGAGGATGGATTTTGTGACTCTAGAAGAGTTTACTCATCAAATGCATTTAGAGGACAATTGTGTACTTTTGGAATTCACAAGTATGAACATCTAGCTTAGAAATCCCAGAGTACGGTTCCCTGAATGCTGTTTAGTAAGTCATCATAAAATCCAACCCATTTTATAATCAAGCTAGATTAGAACAGTTTCCACTGGACTTGAGTTGTGCCAGCTAGTCAGAAACTGCAGGCAAGGGACTCACCTTGAGGATAGTGGCCACTGTCTCCTGTGAGGCATTCCTCATGTCCTCTCCATTCACAGATAAAATCTGATCTCCTTGAATCAATCTCCCATCAAGGTCTGCAGCTCCGCCTTTCACAACGTCAGAAATAAACACTCCACTTCCATTTCTGTTAATACCATAAAACAGTGAGGTACTGGCACAACTTAATTATTTCTTTGTTAAGTAATCTGAGATTACTGACATTCTATATACATGCCTTAAATCTTAAAACTTTTGAAAGAAGGGCCCTATAAGGCCATATAATACAATAACATTTACCAGCTTCCCAAATGATAAATGTTAGAGCACTCACCATTAAACTTTGTCTATTTATGCTGCCTATTGTAGTACTTATTTTACAGGTCCAAGAGTATAATTGCTACAAAATGATATCAATTTTAATGAAGTGAAATGGAAATTCACTTTAAAAGGTACAGTTAAATACTCTAAAAATATTTAGGTTATTTCCCTAGAGAAGATTAGTATAATTACTACCAATCGTCTGTCAGTTTGTCCAAGTATGGTAGCCTACATGTTGCTGTGATGCCAGAAGATATGGATCTGTTATTTCAAATGCCAGCAGGGTCACGCATGATTGACAGGTTTCAGTGGAGCTTCCAGACTAAGAAAGACTAGGAAAAAGGACCTGGCAATCTACTTCTGACAAAAATGGCCTATGAAAGCCATTATAGCCAAATAGCAGCAGAACACTGTCTGGTATAAAGCTGGAAGATGAGTCCCTCAGGTTGGAAGACACTCAAAATATGACTAGGGTAGAATTTTCTCCTTAAACTACAGTTGACCCTGATGATGTAGATGGAATAAAGCTTTTGAGACCTTCATTTGCTGATGTGGTATGACTCCAAATGAGAAGACAGCTGCAAACATCCATTAGGAAACAGAATGTGGAATATACAAAACATGAATCTAGGAAAATTTGCACATAGTGAAAATGAAATGGAATGTTTTAAGATCAATATCCTAGGTTAAAATGGACTAGTATTTGTCATTTTAAATCAGACAATCATATATAGTCTACTATGCCAGAAGTGACAAATTCACTGTCAAAAAGAATATTTCAAGATTTATCCTGAAATACACTGTGGTCAGAGATAAGATGTGCAAGGAAGACCAGTTAATACAACTATTATTCAAACTTATTCACAAACCATTAATGCCAACGATGAAGGAATGGAAGATTTTTACTAACTTCTGCATTCTGAAATTGATTGAACTTGCAATCAAGATGCATTAATAATTACTTTTCTGAGGCAGTATCATTATAGAAGTAGATTGCCCAATCTTCCTTCCAAGGAGTGGCTGGTGGGTTTGAACCGCTAGCTTTCTGGTTAGCAGTCTAACGTCTTAGGCATTATGCCACCAGAGCTCCTAAATGATGCCAGAGATCACATAACAGAATTTTGCAAGTCCAATGACGTTTGCATTGGAAATATCTTTTTTCAACAACGTCATACATGGAGAAAGCAAAAAGCAATTCAAAGACAAGAAATAAAGAAAATACCAAAATGGATGTCAGAAGAGACTCTGAAACTTGTTTTGAATGGTGAATAGCTAAAGCTAATGAAAGAAATGATGAGATAAAAGGGCTGAACAGAAGATTTCAAAGGGCAGCTCAAGAACACAAAGTAAATATTATAATGAAATGTACAAAGACCTGGAGTTAGAAAACCAAAAAGGAAAAAACAAGCTCAGCATTTCCTAAGCTGAAAGAACTGAAGAAAAAATTCAAGCCTCAAGTTGCAGTATTGAAAGATTCTATGGGAACAATATTGAATGATGCAGGAAATGTCAAAAGATGGAAATACTACATATAGCCACCATACCAAAAATAATTGGTCAACATTCAACCATTTCAGGAGGTAGTATATGATCAAGAACCAATGGTACTGAAGGAAGAAGTCCAAACTATGCTGAAGACACAGGTGTAAAACAAGGCTTCAGGAATGGAATACCAATTAAGACATTTCAAGAAATGGATGCAAAACTGGAAGCACTCATGTATGTATGACAAAAAATCTGGAAGACAGCTACCTGGCTAAGCAACTGAAAGAGAGCCATATTTGTGCCTGTTCTAAACAAAGGTGAGCCAGCAGAATGTGGAAATTTTCCAGCAATATCAATAACATCACACACAGGTAAAATTTTGCTGAAGAAATTAAAAAATGGTTACAGCAGTACATCAACAGGAAACTGCCAGAAATTCAAGCTGGATTCAGAAGAGGATGTAGATTGAGGGATGTCATTGCTGATGTCAGATGGATCTTGGCTGAAAGCAGAGAATACTGGAAAGATGTTTACCTGTGTTTTATTGACTGTGCAAAGGCATTTGAGTGGGTGGATTGTAACAAATTATGGATAACATTGCAAAGACTGGGAATTCCAGAACACTTAATTGTGCTGACCAGAAACCTATACATAGACCAAGAAGCAGTCATTTGAACAGAACTTGGGGTTACTGCCTGGTTTAAAATCAGAGAAAGTGTGTGTCATGGTTGTATCCTTTCACTATATTTATTCAATCTATATGCTCAGCAAATAATCTGAGAAGCTGAAGTGTATGAAGAAGGGTGCAGTATCAGGATTGGAGGAAGTCATTAGCAACCTGTGATATACAGAGGACACAACCTTTCCTACTGAAAGTAAAGAGGACTTGGAGTACTTACTGAGGAAGATTAAAGACTATATAGCCTTCACTATGGATTACACATCAACATAAAGAAAACAAAAATCCTCACAATTGGACCAATAAGCAACATCATTATAAACGGAGAAATGATTGAAGTTGCGAAGAATTTCATTGTACTTAGATCTGCAATCAACACCCATGGAAGGAGCAGCCAAATCTGCTGCATTGGGCAAATCTGCTGCAAAAGGCCTCTTTAAAGTGTTAAAAAGCAAAGATGTCACTTTGAGGACAAAGCTATGAGAGACCCAAGCCATGGTATTTTCAATTGCCTCTTATGCATGTGAAAGGGGCATAATGAATAAAGAAGACAAAAGAAGAATTGATGCCTTTGAATTATGGTGTTGGTGAAGAATACTGAATATATCATGGACTGCCAGAGAACAAACAGATCTATCTTGGAAGAAAGGAGCTCTGGTGGCATAGTGGGTAAGGTTTTTGGCTGCTAACCAGAAGTTTGGCAGTTCAAACCCACCAGCTGCTCCATGGAAGGAAGATGAGGCAATCTACTCCTGTAAAGATTTACAGCCTTGTAAACCCACTGGGGGTTGCTATGAATTGGAATTGACTTGATGGCAGTGGATGAGCCTTGGAAGAAGTACAGCCAAGATGTTCCTTAGACATGGATGGTGAGACTTCGTTGCACTTATTTTGGACATGTTACAAGGAAGGACCCATCCCTCATGAGGACCTCATGTTTGGTAAAGTGGAGGGTCAGCACAAAAGAAGACCCTCAATGAGATGGAATCTGTCCTGGAAGAGGTGCAGCTGGAATGCTCCATGGAAGCGAGAATGGCCAGACTTCATCTGTTCATGTTGTAAGGGACCATTCCCTGGAGAAGGATATCATGCTTGGTAAGGTGGAGGGACAATGAAAAAGGGAAAGGCCCTTAACGAGCTGGATTGACACAGTGGCTGCAATGATGGGCTCAGGTATAGTAAAGATCATGGGGTTGGCATAGGACTGGATAGTGTTTTGTTCTGCTGTACATGAGGTCACTCACTATGAGTCAGAGACAACTCAATGGCACCTAACAACAACATTGAAAAGTTTTCCTTTCACCTCTGTTCCTAGTCTCCAGGTTCCCTTTTTGTAGGCAACCAATGTTACCAATTCCTTGGGTACCTCCAAGAGACATTCTGGGTACATATAAGCAAATATATGTGTGTACAGTACTAATGTGTGTGTGTGAATGAACAAACATACATACTTTTCCCTCTAGTTTTGTTTTCTTTAAGTTTGCTTTTTTTTTTTTTTCACTTAATATGTCTTGGTGATTGATCCTTATCAGTACCTGGAGCTTCCTCATTTCAATGATCAGCTACCTATTGATGAACTAGAAGTTATTTCCATACTTTAGTGATTGCAAACAATGTGCAATTAATAACATATCTGCAAGTATTCATAGTCTTAGAATTGCTGGTCAAAGTGAACTGTAAATTTTGAAAGCTATTCATCTGACCTATTACAAGGGAATTTTTTTTGCTAAGGAATATACATATTCCTTACAAACTCAACCTGAAATACTGGTGCTTTGTGAAGACTATTTCATTAATCCACTAAGAGACAATAAAGCACAAAATCATTACTCTAAAATGGAATCTCTCCAGACATATGTATGTGTCACAACAAGAAAGCAAACCTCAAGATGGGTTCTGCACCAGATATGGGCCGATTTTGTTTAGAATTGTAAGACTCTCAGCTTATTTGTTTTGTAATGTATTTTCAGAGTGACAGTTTTATGTTGTTGACCTCAAACAGGAGAAAATGACAGCACAGTTTTTGGCACAAAATCCAGTGCTCAAAAAATGGTAGCTAATATTCGTATTTTATTAACAGCTTGGAATGCCAGAAAAAGCACTGGGCAAGGCATTGGAGCTCTGTGAGGGTGCATGAGATAATATATGTAAGACTAATGTGAATGCTTCCTAAGATGATAGTCAATACAATTTAAGGCAATATTGGAGTGTGACTTGGAAATTCTGCAGCCTTGTTGGATTCAGTACACGTTAGATGTCTAAAAGCCAGCAAACCATGAAAGCTAGATTTACAGTTTCAGGATATTACTTACCTCTCCAATAAACTGCAAGAGAGAACCTACTAATGGCATCCTGGAACAATTACAGTAATTCACATCATATGGTAAGTAGCAGATACTTCAACAGAGCAGCCTAACCACTAGGATCTATCCTCATTTATAGTGCAAACTATTCATTTTTTGGGATATCTTTCTTAGTAGAAAATTACTGTCATGAAGAATTGATGTTTAAGTCTCAACTGTGTCTAGGTTTAGTATAGTATGAAATTAATATTCTGTGCTCAGTGGCAGAACAAATCCAACATTGTATAAATCCACCTCTCTTCTTGGTATTGGCTGTTTCTTGGAAATAGCAACCTCTAGCACTAGTGGCGTAGTGCCTAAGGCATTTGACTGCTAACCAGAAGGCTGGCAGTTCAAACCCACCAGCCACTCCTCACAAGGAAGACTGGGCATTCTACTTTCATAGAGATACTGCCTCAGAGACCCAAGGAGGGGTCGCTATGAGTCAGTATCACCTGGATTGCAGTGAATTTGGTTTGGTTTGGTTTGTTAGTGGCTGATAAGTCTCAGCTCTAGGTGATACCAGGTGGAAAGAACCTGTAACTCTGTCCTTATCTTATAAAGGAATAAAAGTGTTAACACTCTGGCTGGATTGTGCTTGGAGTTCTATCTTGATGTGACTATTTTTTTTTTTTTTTTCAAAGAGGAGTAAAACCTTCTCAGAAATATGACCTATATTGTTCAAACATTCATAAATATTAGAATTTTAGAAATCATACCATTAGTTTATATTAGGCTTTCTCTTTCAGTGTGTATCAGCATTAGTCCCTAGAACTCTGAAGAAAAAGCCCACCCTGACTTGAATTTCTTTACCGTTTCCCAACGATGCTCAGGCCTAGTCCTCGGCCGACCTTCTTCTGCAGGTCCACAGGAAAAATGTCCAAGTTTTCCTCATCCCTGTAGTGGGCCTCATCTCTATACACCACCAGCCGTACCTTCTGGGGGGTCTGCCTCAGGGCTGTGATGGCCTCTTCATGGCTGGCGCTTCTCAGGTCAACCCCATTAACCTGCAACAACGGGCATCAGTGATGGGCTGCTGACATTAGAGGTCTCTGCCTGCACCATCTGTCTGTGGGAGCTCCTTGATCCAACCAGTGAAAAACCTTTAGAAATTTCCAGCCATTCCCAAAACATAAAGGTAGTGCCCACGAGCAGTACTAGCTGCTTTAAATATAAAGGAGGTGATTCTTATACTGCCTAAATAAGCACAGAGGGTGGGTTGGTGCATAAGATAACACAATTTTATGTTGCTGTGAACTTTACCAGGGAATCAACATGAGAGAGGGAGCAGGACCTAATAAGCTCATTTAATGGAGACCAAAAGGGCAATAAATATTAGCAGTTTTAGATTCAGTTTGCTTACTAGATTTGACATCCTAATTCTTAATGGCTAACATCACAATCCACAATGGACCCAGAAGGAAATGAGGGACAAGTATTTCCAATACCATCACAGATCTCCTGAAGTTCTCTTATTTGAATTTGGAGCCAAACAGCAGATAGGCTACATAGTAGACAGCAGACTGTACTGTAAACAGCATCAACTACAGTCAAGGCTCTGTTTTCAGTGAGTCACGTGAATTTGGGTAAGTCATGTAACCTCTCTGAGACTATTTCCTTATCTGTTAAATAGACATCACAGCCAACTTACTGATTTTTTACTTAAATCTTTATGTAGTGTTTCTATGCTAGCCTTTTATGAAATATTTACTCATTTAATCCTTGTCCTAACTCTGTGAAGTAGATAGTTATTATAATCATTTTAGAAATGAGGAAAATGAAGCATGGAGAGGTCACATGACTTGATGACAGTTACACAGTTGGTGGAGGAGGCAACATTTGAACTCAGACAATCTGCTTCCACCCTTAGTCCCTATATTATTATGTTGCCTCACAACTTACCCTTAGAATGTGCTACTGGACCCCACTGCTACAAAGAAAGTCACATCCTGATTCTGGTTAGTGAATTAGATAGGGAGAAATCAAGGAGCAGAGCAGCCCAGGACTCGGCGGAAGGGAGTCACTGGGTAACGAAATCCTCAAGGTCACAGCCAGGAAATAACAAAACAGAGAAAGATGGGTTCACGCTATAGATAGGAGGACGACAGAGTGGAAGAGTTCCTTCAAGATGCCCCTTCTACTCCTTTTCTGGTCTCACCATGTGTGCTCTGAGCATGTTGAGCTCATCTCTGAACCTCTGTTCCTTCATGTGTACACGAAGGATCCGTCTAAGGCTCTTTCCAATTCTAGCCTTCTACAGACTATGGATGGTTACAAAGAAGGGAGAAAAGATGCATGAAACCTTGAAGAAGGTGACTTTTGAGCTATTTTTAAAACCTAATTCTATGAGCCAAGAAAATGTTTAAAAGTCTAATTTTCAAGCTGCTAGTTTTTTGTGTTTTTTTTTTTTTTCCTGGTATATCTTGGTAGGCTTGTGTACTTACTTAAAAAGATTATATCTAGAATAATAGTGGTTAAAGAAATGGGTTTTGGATATAAATGGATTTCAGTTATAGTGCAGATTGTAACTTACTGGCTATGTGAAACCTTGTGTAAACAAACTACTTAAACTATGCCTCAGTCATGTAATCTATGAACTGCTGTTGATAATAATTAACAACAACTACTATTTAGTGTTGTGAGGATTAAATGAAAGAAATCCTGCCAAACACTCAGCACAGGGTTTGTTTGGCACGTGGTTAAGCTCAATACAAGTTCAGGATGATATTTCACAAGGAATAGAAAGAATTGCAGCCAGTCTGTTTTTTCTCTGCATGGCTATTCACTGTTACCTTAGACCAGTGAATGCATTCTCACTGTTTAAACATAAACCCTCAGAACAAGGGGAAAACAACGTGTTTAGAAACTGTGGTCTGAGCTGATTAGTTTCCTGTATTCCAATAGATGGCACACAAGACCACTCACTCAACTCAAAGACAAGTTACCTCCAAAAAACTAAGTTACCTCTTAGGCTTACTTCTTAAGCCTCTAAGTACCTTTTCCAAAAACCCTACCAATTATATTTTTAATTAAAAATGTTGCCATTAATCTCTAATATTGCAGAAACAATTTCTCATAAATTCCAGCATCAAGATATCTGCTCAAATCAAAGTGATCTGTCTGACACACTAAATTTCCAATGATCATGAGGGAAATAATGCTGTGTGGCTTGACTATTGTGGAGTGATGTATTATCTTAAGTGCCTTATACAAGCACTATATGCATTATTTAGAACACTGATTATAGAGGCATAGGGGTAGTAACAGGTGTACAGGTGTATGAAGAAGTGGGTGAACAACTGTTTTAGAAGGAAAAGATAATCAAGTTAGTCATCACACATTAACCCTCTATTTGTTCTGCTCCCACTTGTACCAAAATAGAGCAATGGGTAAGAGTAAGAACCAACACTAAAAGGAGAATCAGAAAGAAGATAGTCCATGCTAATCATATAATCAGAAACCTTTCCATGCTGAAAAATTACTTGACTATATTTTTGAAAGGAAAATCTGGCTTGTCATAATTTTAATCTGTTGTTGTTGTTGTTAGATGCCATCGAGTTGTCTCTGACTCAGAGCGACTCTATGCATAGCAGAACGAAACAATGCCTGGTCTTGTGCCAGCCTCACAATCCTTGCTATACCTGAGCCCATCAATGCAGCCACTGTGTCAATCCACCTCACCGAGGGCCTTCCCCTTCTTCACTGACCCTCCACTTTACCAAACATGACATCCTTCTCCAGGGAATGATTCCTTCTGACAACATGACCAAAGTAGGTGAGATGAAGTCTGGCCATTTTCATTTCCAAGGAGCATTCTGGCTGCACTTCTTCCAGGACATATTTGTTAAGTCCTTTCAGCAGACCATGACACTCTTAGTATTCTTCTTCAACACTACAGCTCAAAAGCATCAACTCTTCTTTGGTCTTTCTTATTCACTGCCCAGCTCTCACATGCATAAGAAGCAAATGAAAATACAATGGCTTGGGTCAGGTGCACCTTAGTCTTCAAGGAGACATTTTTGCTCTTCATCACTTGAAAGAGGTCTTTTGCAGCAGATCTGCCCAATGCAATACGTCGTCTGATGTCTTGACTGCTACTTCCATTGGTGTTGATTGTAGACCCAAGTAATATGAAATCCTTGATAATTTCAATCTTTTCTCCATCCACCATGAAGCTGTTTATTGGTCCAGTTGTGAGGATTTTTGTTTTCTTTATACTGAGGTGTAATCCATCCATATTGCAGACTGTAGTCTTTAATCTTCATCAGTAAGTGCTTCAAGTAATCCTCACTTTCAGCAAGCAAAGTTGTGTCATCTGTGTATCACAGGTTGTTAATGAGTCTTCCTCCAATCCTGATGCCATGTTCTTCTTCATATAATCCAGCTTCTCGGATTATCTGCTCAGCATACAAGTTGAATAAGTCTGGTGAGAGGATACAACTTTGATGCACTCCCTTCTTGATTTTGAACCATGCATATCCCCTTGTTCTGTTTGAATGATTTTAATCTGAGCATGATATTAAAAGGAGCTCTGGTGGTGTAGTGCCTAAGGCACTTGATTGCTAACCAGAAGTCTGGAGGTTCAAACCCACCAGCCACTCCTTGGAAGGAAGGCTGGCAATCTACTTCCATAATGATACTGCCTTGGAAACCCAAGGAGGGGTTGCTATGAGTCATATCCGACTTAACGGCAGTGAGTTTGGTTTTTGGTTTATGATATTAAAACCATGAACGATCAGCTTGCCAAATGCAGAGGCCTCTCATGAGTGGAAAGACTATTATTTGGAAAAGATGAAGGGCTGTTTAGCCTCCTGGTCTCAAATGTCCGATCAAAGCTGGTCTGTTTTCTTCTAAGGGTAACTTTCAGGCCACAGGCTAATTAAGCACATGTACAGCACATACTGGCTACAATGAGAACAGATCCAAATGTGGGGCCTAAAGCTGCTTAGAAAGGAAGGGTATTACCTGACCAAACTGGGAGCTGTATTTCTTATTGAAACACACACTATGTTCTCATGGACTAGATCCTGTCCTGGTCATCTTTAATGAGACGTGTAGACCATCCAGCCAGACTGGGTAATATGATTCTGGAAATGGTTTACTTGACGTTTTCCACTTGAAATAAATTTGTTTTCGTCATGCTAATCTACTGAGTGTTCATTTATACATCAATATACTTTATGGAAAGGAGCAGCTACAGCTGAGGGTCCATCAATACAAATAATTTAGTTTTCTTTTTTTAATTTAGTATTTATTGAGGTATAAGGGACTAAAATAAACCACATATTTAAAGTGTACAATCTGATAGGTTTTGGAATATGTGAATTACATCTGTGAAATCAACACCACAATCAAGAAGATGAACATATCAGGTTTAGGGTCAAGTGACCATATAGAATAATTGTGGACTTACAATTCATATAAATATCAAGGCACATATGAATCTGTCCTCTTTGAAAGTGTAATCTATTTCATCTTATAAAGCCAATTATGATAATACCAGTTGCTTAGAAAATGTAGGGAAGGGGGAAAAAAAACAACCAAAATTCTTAACGACTAAAAAAGTGTTGTAAGGTAAAACAGTCCCGCCAATTCCCAAAGAGGCCTCACTTATTTTCCTAACCTCATACACTTACACCTTAATGAATGTACTGGGGATTTACCCTAAGCTGATGATGAAGCACAGTAAAGACCTGCAGGAGAAATCCTATAACTTGCCCTGAGTTTATTTTGCAGTCAGCCTGACCTCTCCTTTAACCCTTTCTTGTCTATATTTGCTGCCCTTAATTATATCTCTGGTTTCATCTTGGGAGGCAGAAATGAAGCACCAAAGGGAAAAATAAAAGTCTATGATGTCATTCCTAATGTGCTATATTAAAGCTGCAGAGCAAAATGCACATGCCTACCATAAAATGTTAACTATTCAATTAAATTTATCCAATGAAAGAAATAAATGTTGCCTAAAGGTTTCACACCATAGAAAAAGCTCTTTAGTTCCACCTACCAGAACGTTAGCCTGGCATTGGCTTTCCATTCATCCATTCATACTGCATGCCTTAGCACTTTTTAAAAGGCTTTAACACCTTTGGCTAAATGAGAGTCAATTTGAAAGAGTCAAGTTAAAGCATTTCAATTTTTAATAAGTACCATATACTACCTAAAGGGAGAAGGTTCTGCTTTTTCCTCAACTTGAAAACATAGATGGCAAGATATGGACCTCCATTTGAAGTGACGATATATTAGGATTTAAAAAAAAAATTATTGTAACTTCAATAAAGTCCATAAACATCAGGTGTCTGTGTTTGTGTGTATGTGTTTTAGGAGGGAATTTAAGAAAGCATAGAGGAGACATGAAAAAATAAAACTGCAATATTATACAGTCTTATTTGCTATTTAAATTATAGAAGTATAAGTTGTAATTTTTTCTTTAATTAAGCAAAAAACTTTTTCACTGACAGCTTTCAGTTGATAATCTGCCATGATTCTAAACCAGGGAGCTATTCAACATATATTAAAAAAAAGAAGAATATAATACATGCTTTATAAAAGGGGAGAGAAAAAAGTGAGATTATAGTTTAGTAGAAGAGAGTTAATAAATAAACTGACTTTGTGTGCTCAAGGTCAGTAAAGGACTCATATTTTCTAGTATAAAATAAAATTTAAAGTCATATACCTCTAATATCTGGTCACCAGCCCAAAGTCTTCCATCTCTGGCTGCTGCTCCTTCTTCGTAGACTTCATGTATAACTATGGCATCCTATAAAAACCAAGTTCTTATTAATCTTCATCAACAACAATATTTCCTTGAACAAACAATCAAACCATAGGCAGCAACCAATAATTTGTAATTTGCCAATAATGTTACATTCCACTGGACATAAAGATAAGATACACAGTTATGATATATTCAGAGCTATAATTAATCTTCTCAACATTTATTACTGCATTCCCTTGGAACTGGCTTTGCCTAATATTTTAGGTTAACTTCCTCTATGTGTTTTACAATTAACCCTGTATATTGCTGCTGTGAATGAACTTGAAATGAACTATGTGTCATTCTTATTTACATTTTATAGTATATTTTGAAACATGGTTTCAAGTATTTATTGGTATTCAAGGATTTGGCATAGATGTGTGGCCTGCTGAATGGGGTTTGCCAGGCCTCATTACTTTGGCAATGAAACAAAAGAACTTAATAGAATCAGCTGGCCCTGGAAGACAGAACATGGAGTAGGGAAAACAGCTGTGTGTTCGAATCCTCATTCTACCATTGTGCAATCTGGGTAAATGAGTTCCTTTGAACTCAGCATTCTGAGCCATAAAATCAAGAAAACAATATCTAACATAGGTAAGCTTTGTTTGAGGCAAATGTTTTCATGGGTAATGAATTAAAACAGAAACAAACATGTAATGTATATCTCTTTACATTAATAACCGTAACTTTTTTTCTTATCCTCATGAAAAATAACATGTACCTATATTAAAGATTCAAGAAACACCAGAGTGTACTATGCCACAAAATGAGACTGTCCCCCATACGACTCAGTCCTAAGCCCCAGAGACAACTGTCATCAACAATTTCCTAAGGACCCCTCTAGAAAGTTTACGATTATAGACCCAAATATTTATATATTTTGATAAGAGTATTAAAAAATATTAAATTGTTCCTACTGGACCAATGAGCAGCATCACAATAAATGGAGAGAAGATTGAGGTTGTCAAGGAATTCACGTTGCTTGGTTCTACAATCAATGCCAATGGAAGGAGCAGTCAGGACATTAGACGACGTGTAGCAT